GCACTTTTATTTCCCCTCCTCCCCCGCCCCCACCGCCGCCTCTCCCAGGTCCTGCAGCTGAGACTGTGCCTGCTCCTCCGGTACCGCCCCCTCCTCCTCCCTCTGCACCCCCGCTGCCTGGAACATCTTCACCCACAGTGGTTTTCAACTCAGGATTAGCAGGTACGGGCACAGAATTCAACCACAGGTACTTGTGTTAGAAATTTGTCTTAGAGAGTTAAAACTATTCTTTCAAAGTTCGGGTCTCTTGCAATGACATGTGTATCTCTTCTTAGTATAAGAACATCCCTGCTAATGTAGTCAGTGCAGGGGAAATTGTCACCCACTGGAGGTGTGTCTGTGAGTAGCCGTGGTCATACTGTGCCTAGTGAGAGGTTCCGATCTCTCACACCAGCTCCCCGCCTTTCACTGGCCCCACCTAGACAAGGGAAGAGACAAAAATCACCTCCTTAAGGGACAGTGCATTTTTTTTGGTTCAGCAAATACCTCCTGGACACCTGTAGTGGTCAAAGCTCTGTATTAGCACATACATTGAGTGCTTCTGGCTCTTTTTTTAAAAAAAAGGTATTTGCGGTGTCATCTATAAAAAGGGAAAATGCCTTTATGTATAATTGCCTGATGTAGGCTTCTAGGCATGTCTTCTGAGCATCTGAGAATGTCAGAATTTGCTAGAGTGGATTTAAGCTTCAAGGGGAAGTGCTGCCGACAGCAGTATTCCCATGCCTTGAAATGCCTCCAAATAATTCATGTTGTCCTCTTGCTAACCAGGAGAGAGAGTGCGGCATCCTTACCGCACCAGAAATCAAACAAGGGGTGAGGGGTAGGGTGAGAGGAGGAGAGTTGCTCTAATGCCTTCTTAGTTTTGACTCACAGAAATGAATTTGTATTCACATGATACTCATTACCATCAGACTGGCAAACCAAGGACAAAGAAAGATTAAAAAAAAAAAAGACAGAGAAAGGATACTCGAATACATGGGAATATTTGATGGAACTCAGCCAGAACCTATAAAGCCCCATTAATTATTAATTGTATGCTAGTAATGCATGCAATATATTCCAGCAATCGTTATTGTTAACCAAGTTCTTTCTGTCTAATAAACGCAGCTACCTTAATTTTCCCGGCAGGTGAAAATTCCTTCCAATTCCTTTCCAGGAATTGTATTCCTGGGAAAACAGCTTCCAATACTGCAAGCTGTTTTCCCAGTTGTGACGTGTTTCCCTGGCATTTGGAATTGCCCCTCGCTTTGCCATCCCTGGGACACGGGATATTCTGCCGCCTCATTCTCTCATGAAGCCCCTTGTTTCCGATGAAGAACTACCACTCCAATAGCTTCCATTCCCTGGACTATAGTAGTTTTCAGAGCCTTTTGCTTGAAATCTGAAAGACAGTCTTAGCTGTAAAACTTTCCCAGTCTCCATCCTTTCCAGAGTCCCCTCAGCAGCTACACCAGCCAGCCAATGTAGTGACTCGAGCTCTTTTGGACACCCCAAAGCTACTCATAACAAATTTGTTCCCCATCAAGTCCATGGTTTTACTTCCATGTCAACTTCTGTAAAACTGTCAAGGAAACAAACAAGATGCCAGTGCAGAGTAATGTTCACAGTAAATCAGTGGCTTATTTCTACCCTCCAAGATCTTCCCCGTCTACCACTTTCTTCTAGAATTTTATTGCTTCTGAAGGAGGAAAGTTGGAGTGGAATCATAGAGGAATTCTTGGATCATGAAATGTATTTCTTTGTTTGTTTTTTACATGTTTTTTTAAAGGGAGTGAGAAGAGGGGTTCAATTCCCGCCCCCTTCTTTTTTTTGAGGCAGAGTCTCACTCTGTTGCCCTGGCTAGAGTGCAGTGGTGTCCTCGTAGCTCACTGTAACCTCAAAGTCCTGGGCTCAAGTGATCCTCCTGCTTAGCCTCCCAAGTACCTGGGACTACAGGCATGTGCCATCGCACCCAGCTAATTTTTCTATTTTTAGTAGAGGCGGGGTCTTGCTCTTGCTCTTGCTCAGGCTGGTCTCGAACTCCTGAGCTCAAGTGATCCTCCCGCCTCAGCCTCCAAGAGTGCTGGGATTACAGGTGTGAGCCACTGTGCCTGGCCGGCTGGATTGCAGAATGTAAACAAACAAAACCTCATGACGAGCCCGGAGAGTCTCTTCCATCACCAGGCTGTTCTCAGCCACTGAATGTGGAAAGCTGTAATTGTCACATGCACCTGGGCTCCCTGGTTTGGCTTTCGGTGGAGCCCCAAGGAGCACTCACCGTGAGGTGTGTCTGCTGCGGTGTCTCATTTGGCACTGCCTCCTTTCTCTCTGACAGAAGCTAACATGTGATTCAGCGCCCACTTCTGTTCCTCTGAGCACCGACGTACAACCCAGAACTGCACTGGCAGAGTGCAAAAGCCAACGGGCTGACAGTGTCCAGGGCTCCTTTCTGAAGGGCGTGTCCTATCTGGTTGATCTATTTGCTTGCTTGTTTATTTATTTTGCTTGGGCTCTTCCCACTGCTTAATTTTTAAAATTTCCTAGCTGTATTGATTGCCTCAATTTTAAGGTGTGGAACTCTGTGCCCAGCTGATAACCAACTGCTGCCTGCAGAGTTGGAAGGTGTCCCTGCTGTGTCTCATGCAGTGTAGAGGACTGTACATGGGATTGAAAAACTCTTTAGTTCCATAAGTATCCATTAAATGATTACAAGAAACATCTCGTTTTACAAGATATGAGCATTATAAGATCCGTACAAGTCTCTGATAGCTTGAGATCAGGCAATTTCTACAAGGCCTTTAGTCTCTCTTTGTTACTCATCCTTAATTTGACTGTTAATACTTAGCGATTGAAGCCTATTATGTGAGATGTTTTGCCAGTGTGTTCAGTCACTCCTCCCTCTCTCTCTCTGGAAACAAGAGGCCAGACAGAATCAGGATGTCCCGGTAGAACCAAGAGACAGAACTGAGCTGATATGCCCAGGGCTCCCGGGCAGGCAGAAATCTGTGACATCACTAGGCCTCTGGGTCCATAGGCAACGAGATGTCTTATATCTTCAATAGACAATGAGCAAGTGTGTTCGTGGTGGCCAGGACAGGGACTAGGAGGAGGTCCCCATAGTTTATCTAGTTGGAAGTTTTCTTTGCATTCTGTAGAGAAAATATTAGTAGTGTGAAATAGACATTTGAAGCATAGGGCTTACTTCCTCTCATCTGCGGCAGGACATTCAGGCTCCCTTTTCTGGAGTAGGTCACCTGAGATGGACTGCTGGGCAGCCTGTGACCTTTGCTGTCTCTTTGGGAGGATGTGCCGGGATCTTTACAATGAGATTTTAGATTCTGGCTGATTATTTTTTTATTAAAAAAATTGTTCATATCCTATGGAATACCCAGTACAGTTTAGTATGGCAGTTTGGGACCACTACAATGAAATATATATTTTTTTCCTTTTCTTCTTCTAAAGAGGATGATTTTTAAAACAAAATAATGAGTGAGTCTTCAAGGCAGGCTTGAATGGAAATAAATGTTTGGCTCCATGCTGCCTTGTGAAATGTGTCCACGAAGCACGAAATTCTATGCTAAGAGTGTGTGAACTGCTGAGCCACTTGACTCTAACCATATCTAATTCTTTTTTTTTTTTTGTATTTTCTCTATTCTTTCTGCTTCCACAAAAGATGGGCCAATCAAGCTTTTCTGTAGGTTGCTCCTCACTGAGTGTGTTGAGTGTTTGCCATGTGTTCCTGTGGGTCATACTGTGCCTTCACATCTTTCCACTCCATTTGAATTCGGTCCATTGCATTTTGACTTTGTGTCTGTGGGGAGTCGTGGTGTTGGCTCACTGTTATTGCGGGTGTGCCCACGCATTCTAGTTGAACCCGTAGAAGAGATTATTGTCCTTTAAGCAGACATCTTAGATTCATATACCACGTTCCATTCCCACTGAGAAAAGGAGTTTTTTTTCTTTTAGTTTAATTTTCATAGTTGGAGGTAAGGCTTCGACTCTAAGAGGATTTAGATCTAGGGAAAAAAGAACAAACAAAAGCTGTCAGGTGCCCCTTTTCCAGTCCCCTCCCACTAGCCTCTGCCTCACCCCATGGAGAACCCACCCATGCTTAGCCTGAATGCCGGGGATGCAGTGTATGTGGTGGTCACCTGTGTGCCCTCCTCCTCCTCTTCCCCACCCGTCCATGCTGTAGGCAGAGTCAGCAAAACCTTTTCAAGGAGGAGAACTTTCTGGCCTGGGTTCCAATCTCAGGCTTATTCCTTACCTTGCCAAAGAGTCAGAAGAAGGGTGGCTGCAAACGGCGTGACTTCTAGCTAGCGGCCTGCGCCTGCAATGTCCGTGGAGGGAAAGTAGGAAGCCAGTGGCACCAACCTGTGCCCTCATTATGAAAAAGCTCTCCATGTCCTTCCCCCACCCCACAACATTGCAGAAGTGCCAGACTAGGAAGGTCTATTCCTTTGTCCCACTGAGGACGTCAGTTTCCCTGGGTAGTATGGACAAAAATACTGTGTGGCAAGGAATCCGACCCTGGGGCAGTGGGGCCAAAGGTGTCATGTTTGGTGGTGGAGAGGCTTGGTTTGGCAAAGGCTGTGTCTCTGTGTTCCTGCATGCTTTTGTGTGAGTTTATCAGATGACATCCCTGCTGTTTAAATGGCCTTCATAACTCTGGAGGAACGAGAGGCACCGTCTGTCTCCCTTTCTTAGTTAATGCCAACTGAGGCAGGCAGCCAGCCATGCAGCCAGCCAGATAAAAGCTCAGTCGTGTGTTGCTTTTATTTTGTTCTGCACTGAAGCACTGAAGTTCTCCCTCCCTTGCTAATAATGGCAACTAGCGAAGCTCCCATGTCGTGTGGTGTGCTATCCGGGACAGACTGATGAAGGTGAAAGTATGCAGCTAAATAGTTTGGGAAGACTTCTTTATGATGTAGAATGCTAGAATTTTAAATGGTGTATCTTCCTTAACTCGTTTTCCCAAAGTAGGAGGAGTTGGCCCTCAGATTCCAGAAGATAGATCCCATCCTCTCTGTTAAGAGGCTTTCAGTATACTTAATGGGTGCATTGATACCTCCTAGTCAAATACGACTGACTCTTGGGGAGAATTGGATTTTTTAAAAGTGGAGGAAGGAACTGTGTTGATTCCGAAGGAGCAATACAATTTCTTGATTTCTAAGTACCCTTCTGTCATTATAAACATTTTCTCGTTTAGGCCATTTATGGCCCCTAGTCTGTTTGAAATAAGTCAGCAGCTAATATAATCTCTATTATTGAGATCACCCATAGGAATGTATTGCCCTGGCTGAAAGTTGTCGGCCTTCTTGTTACATTCCTGGTGGTTTACACAGCCACTACCTGCAGTCTCCGATTATATTTTAAGGTTTGTTGGTAAATATGTGATCCAGAACAAAGAATTCAGGTTGTCAAAATTTAACAGTATTTGCCCTCCCTGCTGTCTAATAACATGAATAATAATATTTGCTCTCCAGCACTTTATTTGTCCTAAATATTGTCCAAATATTATAACTGTAATGCAGCAATCCAGTAGCCTGAAGTAGGAAAAAAAAAATCAACCCTTGGCGTTTAGACAGCTTTTAATACAATGCTGTATTAGTGATCCAAATAATGACCTCAGATGGCTCTGGCCAAGGCCATGTTGTGATATTTTCCATACTTAAAGATACCTGGGCGTCTCTTGAAAGCCTTCCTCCAGTGTTAAAGTGTCATCTGCAAGGACTGTTGTCTGATTTTTCCTGAGGGTCGTGGGCTTTTGGTAGGATCTTAATTTCATTCTCTCTGACATCTTTAGCTGTGAAAATTAAGAAGCCAATCAAGACCAAGTTCAGAATGCCGGTGTTTAACTGGGTTGCTCTGAAGCCCAATCAGATCAATGGCACAGTCTTCAACGAAATTGATGATGAGCGAATTCTGGAGGTATTTTTCTCATTGGTTAGAAACTAGGGGTGCTCTCTGTGCAGCAAAGCCAACATGGGTGTTCTGTTAACCTGGAAGTTTCAGAGATAAAGTTCTAGTGTTTTAAGTGCCCTGATGTTTAAAAAAAAAAAAAACAGATTTAGAATATCAAACAACAAAATTTGATGCTATTTTGTAAGATGGTTCCAAAACTATTTTTAAAGTTATATTAAAATGGAATAAATAGTTTTGAGTACCTTCAGTGTACACTACAAAATATATATCTAACACAGCTCCTTCCCTTAATTTATAGAAGGACATAAAAACCCTTTATTGAACTGTGAGTGAATAAGAACTCAGTTATCACACTCACACTCTTTGTTTGATGGAGAGTTCTAATCTGTGGCAGCTGTCTATGCAAGCTAATTATTAAAAGGCAATTGACTTGGCTGGTTGGGATGGGTGGTCTGCTTTAGACCTTCAACTTCTACAAGTGTGTCAGAAGTCGTACTCTAACAAAAACAGGAAAAATAGAGCAAGCCATGGCTAGAGACCAGTACTTAATAGAAAAGTGAAGGTCTTTGCTAAGGAAACTGTCTACATGGTGGCTAATTGACTTAATTTTTAAGTATAGTCCAATTTGCCCATGTCATCCCTCTCTACCTCAGGATTTAAATGTGGATGAATTTGAGGAAATATTCAAGACAAAAGCCCAAGGTCCTGCCATTGATCTTTCTTCAAGCAAACAGAAGATAACACAGAAGGGATCAAGCAAAGTGACGTTACTAGAAGCAAACAGGGCCAAAAACCTTGCCATAACGCTAAGGAAAGCCGGGAAGACTGCTGATGAGATATGTAAAGCTATTCATGTGTAAGTTCAGGGCATTCTGGAAAATTCTATCCTAGTAAGTTTAGAATAAAAATGAAAGTACAAGGAAAGTTATGAATTAGTAGATAACAGAAATATTTCAATAGTGAGGTAAGACCTAAGATAAAAGATGGAGCAATTCTTGATATCCACACTTCAGAGATTCTCCTTATTCCATATTCAGAGTTGAATGAGATGCTAACACGAAAGAGGTGGACAAGAAATTCCCCGAAGGAGTGCTGTGTATTAAAATAAGAATTAATTGTTTTAGAAGAATAACATCTGGATTGTGACATCATTTATTATCTTGGTGTGCTCTCTTGTATAGGCCAACAGCAATGCTTATATAAAAGGGAAGTTGAGCTGAGTGTTGCAGATGTTAAGAAAAGGGGGAAAATGTCAGTTTTCTCTGGAGTGTCTGGATTTTATCCAGATTTATTGAATAAAAATTTGATGGCATTTGTGGAATGATACAGTTCAAGGCCAGATGCAAATATGATACAGTTGCATATTTTAATTTATGACAATAGGAATGTGAATTCTGTTGCTTTTAGAACTTTCAGTACATTTTAAACAAAGTTATTTTTTTATTCTTGAACTATATAGAAGGCATAGGTTTTACTTCTTTATATGAAGGATATTTCTGCTCTTCTTGTGGCCATGGTGACTTTCAAGTGTGATAAGGATGTGATAAAATGTTTTAGGAAGTAATTCTTCATAAACTCCTATTTCATAAATTTTGATTAGAGACTCTTAGAGGTATAAATGACCCTGAGAAATCCTCTGTTCCAATTTCGTGTCTTTAGCCAGTGTCGAAATCAAACAGTGTATTGCCTCCTATGGTCTGTTCTGATTTCTGATACTGAAACTTGATAGGCAGCCTGGTTTTTATTCTTGATATGCCATGTTGTCATGGTGATTAAATGTAATTTATTTAACTGAACAAAAATTGTCCAGAGAATAATTGAGAATAGAGATTGTAGCAAATACTTCCTGTGTTCAAAGTGAGCATACATCCATGAAGACCTGGTATTCCTTCAATAGATTTATGCACTTAACCCAGAACATTCATTTAGTACAGGTATTTGGGTGCATTTTTTTTTCCAATGAAGAAAAAAATAATCCCAGACTATTGGTTTAGTTGAAACGTTTGACAGAATTCACCAGATACTCTATGATAACGTGTACAGTGTTAACATCCTTAATTAGCAGTACTTCACAGTGCTTATAAACTGTGTCTTCGAGCCACCTAAGCATTTGGTGCTTCAGCCTTCATTCTCCCTCTTCCTGTTGTCATTTACTTTTGATTTCTAGAGACTTAGAGCTATGCCGATAGCCTAAAAACCAAGGATAGCAATTGTGATAACGTCCAGGTTTTCAGGAAGAACCAGTTAAGGTACCTGATGGACAGTCAGGAACCAGTGCCAGGGTGGGGCTTCACCACACAGCTGTAGAAATTGTAGATTCATTGACCTGGTCGTTGATGAGCTGGACCAGATATGTGGTGAAAAGGGGTGGGAGGTTTTCTCTCTAATGCTAATGTGTCCACATCTGTCTTCAGATTTGACTTGAAGACATTGCCTGTAGACTTTGTAGAATGTTTGATGCGATTCTTGCCAACTGAGAATGAGGTGAAAGTGCTTCGGCTCTATGAGCGGGAAAGGAAGCCCCTGGAGAACTTGTCGGATGAAGATCGGTTCATGATGCAGTTCAGTAAAATCGAGAGGCTCATGCAGAAGATGACCATCATGGCTTTCATTGGGAACTTTGCTGAAAGCATTCAGATGCTGACTCCTGTGAGTGGACCAACTCTGGAAGGGGAGGGGGTCCCAAGAGATATAGAATCTTTTTTATGTTTCTCCCCGAATTGTACTCAGTGTGGTGGGCTCTGAAGACTCCTTCCCAGAACTTTCTAGATTGCATTTTTATTTTCAGCCCTATGTTCCACATTATATATGCAAAGTAAATTTGAAAAATGGTGAATTTCTATATTCCATATTGCTATTCTCCTGGTGGCTACAGATGTCCTCTGGATTTCAAAAGAATTCAGGACAGAGGACAAGGAAAACCCAAATTTGGTTCCCTCCTGAAGATGCTAGTCCTCCAGCTGTGTTGGCAGAACTGCAAATGTGGCTTTCTTTTCTAAAAATGATCCATATCTTTAGTGAGCAGACTTCTAAGCTTTCGTTGGAAGCATTAAATTCACCATGAGAGTTTTCTTTTTGGAAGTTTGTTTTAGTAGACTGTGGTGATGTAGAATAATAGCCAACCATCTCTCATTCCCTTGTGTTAATCTCGTGTAGACTTACGAATATCATACACTTCAGTTCTTTCCTAATTCTGTTTTGAAATAAACTTGTTAGTTACTGATTATAGTAGTATAAACACGTTCTGAGAACTTGTAAAGGGTATTGTATCCCTGTGCTTTTTTTTTTTCTTTTTCATTCATGATTGCTCCATTGATTTAAGCATATAAATTGTATGACACGAGTAAAGGTGGTGAGCAGGGAATTGAGTTCTGCTAGAAGAAGCTGTTGGCTCTTAACTCTGAATCTTGCTGGTTATGGTTACAGATTTTGTTATAAGCAAGTTCTAATGTTACTTGTTATGGTGAATACTTTTAGAGAAGACCTTGCATGTGATGATACGGTTACCTGAAATATAGCAGGACGACTAATGCTTAGGAAAAGTAGAATCTCATCATTAAGACTTTGTGCTCTAAATGCAAGCCTATTTTCTTCTGTGTTAATTTTTAGTTTCCAATTTTTAACATGTCTTTTCCCCCTTTTCCTTTCTTTGATTGGAATCTAGCAACTGCATGCAATTATAGCAGCATCTGTCTCTATAAAGTCATCCCAGAAACTCAAGAAAATTCTGGAGGCAAGTGAAGTTTTCCTTGTATGCATATATGAAGAGCTGCCTTTTCTGCTGTATTCCAGTGCCTGGGGTGTTGTACTGATAGGCTTCTCTCTCTCTGTCTCTCTCTCTGTCTCTTTTGCAGATCATCTTGGCCCTTGGAAACTACATGAACAGCAGTAAAAGAGGAGCAGTTTATGGATTTAAACTTCAGAGTTTAGATCTGGTGAGTGGACTAAAGGAAATATGAGAGCTATGTGAAAGACAAACAGCTGGCAGAGATTAAGTCCTGGGGGTGAGGGAGAGAGTCTGCTCTTGGAAGTGGGGGTGGATGGTTTGATGAAGATTCTCTGCCAGTGGGAGGATCAACTGGCACAAATTTTCTGGAACAGCATTTGACAGTAAGCACTTAGAACCTATAAATACTTATACCCTTTCACCCAGTATTTCCATTTCTAGGAATCTTTTTTCAAGTGTCTGAATTATGAATGCTGTATTTTATTTATAATCGCAAATAATTAGCAACAGTTTGAATAGTCCGGCAATAGTGGGAAATGATTAAATGTGCTGTAGCGCAACAGCTAATACAGTGAACTATTCTTCACCTGTTAAAATATTTATGAAGAATGCTCAAAGAAATGGATAATTTTGTGTCTAGACAAGAAAGCAGGCATATATGTGTATAGTTTAATATGCATATAGTTTATTCATGTACAGTTTAATTTCACCTAAGTAAAATGTACAGGGAAAAAGACTGAATGGAAATAGGTTAAAATATTAAAGGAATTTTTTCAAATTGCTTTTTTAAAAAGACTTTTCTGTATTTTCTTAAAATTTTTTTTTTGGCCCCTGCATGGAAAAAGGTAGTCTACTTCTTAGAGTCACCTGACTTAGGTGAACAAGACTCAAGAAAATCCTGCATGGACCTCTCCCAGGTTGTGCAGCCCTAACATGATTGCCACGTGAGAAGGTTGGGCACTGGGTCGAGTCCCCAGGCCGGGGAGATGTGGTCATTTGATAGGGAGCGTCCGGTCAGTCCCAGTTCTGGCCCCTGGCAGATCTTGGTCAGTTATGCGTATCTGTTCTGGGTCATCAGAGGCTAGGGAATAAGGCAGGAGCTGAGCTAAATGTAAAAACTGCAGTGTAGGAACCTGCCCCATAGGAGGCACCACCTGCAGGCTCTATGTTCCACTTCTCCTCTGGCCCTTCTCTGTGAAGAGCACTGAAACTGGAATCTTCCTGCTTGTAAACCAGGGAAGGCGGGATAGCAGGTGTGCAGGGCTGGGAGAGTTCATGTAAATGCAGTAGCCAGTCCCCCCTTATCTATAGGGGGCATACGATCCCAGACCCCCCTGGATGTCTAAAACCTTGGACAGTACCGAACCCTGTCTGTATACTATGTTTTCCCCTATACATGCATACCTATGATAAAGTTTAATTTATAAATTGGTCACAGCGAGAGAGTAACAACAATAACTAATAATAAAATAGAATAATTAAGTAAAATAAGGGTTACTTAAATATGAGCACTGTGCTGGGTGACAGTCAGTCTGATAACCCAGATGGCTGCTTGCTGAGTGGCTCGGGGGCAGGTAAGCGTCTACAGCATGGATCTGCCGGACCAAGGCGGGAGTCATGATCTGGGAAGGACAGAGCTGGACAGGAAAGGATTTCTTCAGGCTACTCAGTGCACAATTTAAAACTTATGAATTATTTCTGGGATTTTCCACTTAATATTTTTAGAACGTGGTTGACTGTGGATAACTGAAACCACAGAGTGAAACCGCAGAGAAGGGGGAACGACTGTAGAAGAAAGTTGTGAACCATTCTGAGGTGCTGAGTTATCCCTAAAGTTTAGCGTGTCACTAAAGAACAAACTGAATCTTGAATCTCCTCTGGGAATGTTTTTTGTCGTCTGTGGGTGACTGTATGCAGTTATTTACTCAGGGTCAAAGATCATCATCTGCTGGATAGCCCTGTCATCCTTTGCTCTTGCACCTAACCTGTGTTCCCTTCTCTTTTCAGCTCTTAGATACAAAGTCAACAGACCGAAAGCAAACGCTGTTGCACTATATATCAAATGTTGTAAAAGAGAAATATCACCAAGTGTCCCTATTTTATAATGAGCTTCATTACGTGGAAAAAGCTGCTGCAGGTACTTGATTTCAGCTATTAACATTACTCTTGAGTATTTAATGTCTTTAATTGTGGGGGAACCATTCCTTGCTTAAACAAATACTCTTCAGAACCCATTTAAAAAGCCAAAGTGAAGATGTCAGAAGCTCTGTGCTGTGGTGTTGCCCACCCCCGAGAGCGATAGTGAACGTGGGCATCAAGGTGATCGCTCTGTGTCTGCTCTGTAAAGATCCAGACCTTTGAGACTTGTGTACCTTCCCTCTTTTATTCACTGTCCTTTTTATTCTACTGCTGCTATATGAATTATGAGAATGAGAACCTGAGAATCGCCATCCCAGCAAACACTTAATTTGATTTTGTGCCATTTCACTTGCTCAGGTGTGGTAGTTCTAAACATTTTACCTTTGCCCTGAATACTAGTTAAATTATCAGTACTTCTTGGTTGTTACTCTGTTATGACAGTTTTACATTTCCTCATATAAATCATCGGTGACTCTACAATAGCTGGGATGTACAAGGTACTGGTATCCCCGAGTTATAGGTGAGAAAATTGACATTTTCAGAGGTTAAATGTCATGCCCAAGGTCACATGGGTAGAAAGTGATGGAAACAGGACTTGAACCCAAGGCTTCTGACTTCTCCTATAGTGTATCCTCCAATGCACTATGTCTTCCCAAAAGAATGTTAGGCTAGAAAAAGGAATGATAGATGCACAAATTGACACTGGAGTTACCTACAGGCTGTGATCCTCAAACTGTGATCGTGAACCGTAAGCAGCCAGTAGTTATGATAAATTTAGATCCCAGGCCTACCCCAGATTAATAGAATTTTTGAGGGCAGGCCTTCTGTGACTTCCTCAGCCAGGGTACATGGCTGCTGCTGCTTCATTCTTACTAAAGAGCATTCCGTACTACCCTCTCGTACAAGATTTCTCAAATTTTATTATAAAAATTTCCATGTTGATTGCATCCTGTATACTTATTAAGGGTATAATGAGGTTTTTAAATTTATATTTATAAGTCCCTCAGCTCCTGACAAGTTGGATGTTGAGAGTAAATGAATGAGCGAGCAAACAAGTGAATGAGTGAGATGATACACTGTTACTGGGATGGATGCTGCCAGAGCCCTAGTGGAGACTGAGAGGCAGACGGAAGTGGTTTTGTGCCTGTGGAGGACTGTGCAGTGTGGGCCGCACAGACCTGCTGCGGGCTTGGGGCTCACCCAGGCAGTTGGCAGAATTTCTGTTCTGGTAGAATAGTTTTCCTCCTTTCAGGTTTCCCTTTGCCTAAATTAGAGGTTCTTAAGCATCACAATTCTAATTTTAAAAAAAGTTAAAAGGTAAATTTCTACTTTACTAATTAGTACTAGCACATTTTGGGGGGGGGCCCAAATAGGATTCCCAGAAAGTATCATTAAAAAAAATCGGTGGGAAAAGTTGGGAGCCTGGGGTGCACCCTGGTAATGGTTCTGTTTGCTCTCTGGTGCCCAGATTGGCCAACGCTGATTCTTTATACCTTCACTCATGTGTTCACTCACTCCATATATCCAGTGAGCACTTCTCAGTGCCTTCTGTGTACCTTCACGGAACCATCATAAGTATTGGGGAATCAGAGATGAATAAGACAATGTGAGTCCATTGAGGGAAAACGTACCGCGTTGTTATGTAATTCTTCAACAGGCAGAGCTGAATCAGGCAACGGGGAGCCAGAGGTGGGGTCTGACCTTTGTGGACGAGGTTGGCTCGCGAGGCTCCAGGAATGTGCCTGTTCTGAGAGGTGGCACACTGCAGATGGAAAGGTTCATGCTAAACCTTTTTGAAGCAGGGAAAGGTTATTAAAGAAGCTGTCCAAGGTTGCTTTGGGTGGTAGTGGTCAATACAGCCTATGGTCAACAGGCCACATGCTGCCCCCTGCTGGAGAGTCCCAGAAATGCAAAAGAGTTAAAAGAGAGAGAGGATAAAATCAAAGAAAAGGACCTCAGGGCCGGGCTGGGTGGCTCACACCTGGCCTGTAATACTAGCACTCTGGGAGGCTGAGGCAGAAGGATTGCCTGAGCTCAGGAGTTCGAGACCAACCTGAGCAAGAGCGAGACCCCGTCTCTACTATAAATAGAAAGAAATTACCCAAACAACTAAAAATAGAAAAAAAAATTAACCGGGCATGGTGGCGCATGCCTGTAGTCCCAGCTACCCGGGAGGCTGAGGCAGGAGGATTGCTTGAGCCCAGGAGTTTGAGGTTGCTGTGAGCTAGGCTGACGCCACGGCACTCACTCTAGCCCGGGCAACAGAGTGAGACTCTGTCTCAAAAAAAAAAGAAAGAAAAAAAGAAAAGGACCTCAGAACCTACAGGCCAACTAATAGGCTATTTCCTGTAAGAGACATGGGATAGTTGTTCACCAGCACAGGATTTAGAGTCCATGTTTGTTACCTGAGTCTCCCTGCCATCTACTGGCTGTGTGACTGAGGGCCACCTAACCTCTTGATGCTGCATTTCCTCTGTGACAGAATGGGCTAATGGTGCAAATGAATTAGTGCACACAGAGAATTTAATGCAGTGCTTGGCAGTGAACACTTTGTGAATTATTAAAAGATCTCTGTGCTAAAAGCTGAAAACTAGACCTAGGGCTCTTGAGTCAGCCTAAGAACCTACTGAGAACTTGGCTTAGCAGCCAGACTGACTGTGGTTTGACTTTCCTGGTTGAGATTCACTGGGACGTTGCTTTCTCTACTTTAGTCTCCCTTGAGAATGTTCTTCTGGATGTCAAGGAGCTCCAGAGGGGCATGGACTTGACCAAGAGGGAGTACACCATGCACGACCACAACACGCTGCTGAAGGAGTTCATCCTCAACAACGAGGGGAAGCTGAAGAAGCTGCAGGACGATGCCAAGATTGCACAGGTAAGTACTGGTGCCCTTGACACCTGCAGAGAAGAGATTGGACCCCTTAAAACCACCCGAGGCACAGGCCCGGGGCTGGGAGAAGAAATGTTCCATTTCCCTCTGTCTGGAGGGTAGATGTCTTATGTAACTAATAATTATTATGGGAGAATTGTTTCCAGCTTGTCCTTTTTCTAATTCGGGGACTTGACCCTCTATAGCAAAGGTCCTCTCTGCCCCTCTTTCCATGCCTGCACTCCCTCTAGCACGGGTCCTGGATCCAGTTCAGCCGACCTGTGTCAGGCCTGTGCTCAGCAAAGCAGTGTTCCTGGTGCAGTGGGTTTCTGTAGATCTTGACCTCAGAATTGTACACTACCCCAGGGGTTGCTGATGTGTAGGCAAACCTGCAAAACAGTCGGAATGAACTGCGCATCATTGTAGGAGCTGAGGCAATGTTGGGGGAACTCAGCAGATGTAATGGAATGGCCTCTGATTTGGGGCAGTCTTGCATCACAGAAGAGTTTAAGCAGGGCCTGAGTGTCCCCTGTGTGGGGACGTCATAAGGAGCAATGAAGCAAAGGACTGGGATATAGAGTCAGAGTGACTTCTACAGTCCTTTTTCCCCTTGCTGGTTTCAAGGGGTTCTACTATGGCCCTGGAAACTCTTGGAAGAAATGGTTCCTCATTTTGTGTGGGTGCATGTGAGTGTGTAGAAGCAGCAGGAGGTCCTGGAGATAAATTGCTGTGTCCCGCTGTCGCATTCCTCTGGTTGCCTCTGTGGAGGCAGAAAATTGCGGGAGATGAGGGAGGCTACAGAGGTGGGAAGCTGCGGGAGCCACTGTCCCGTGGCTGCTGCTTTGCTTCAGCTCTGCCCCCGGAGCATGAAGTTCAAGTATTGGAACTAATGAAATTCAAGAGAAATTTGCTGCTTCACAGGATGCCTTTGATGATGTCGTGAAGTATTTCGGAGAAAACCCCAAGACAACACCACCCTCTGTCTTCTTTCCTGTCTTCGTCCGGTTTGTGAAAGCATATAAGGTAAGTTGGAGGAGGGTGTCCTTTAAAGCCCTCCTTGTCATCATTTCTCAAGCAGCTGCTGTCCTTGAAATGTGTCTGAGTCTCACCTGCTCTGCAGAGGCCTCCCAGCTCCTTCGGGTAGCAGATTCGGGTGGTCTGTGTGAGACAGTGCTCTCTGGCCCTGGGGCAGCTGAGAGCTCCTGGGGCCCTCAGGCCGGATGGCCCCTTTCTCCACCGATCCTGGGCCTCAGCCAGAAAACAAAAGCTCTTGTCTGCCCCCCTGGGGCAAGTGGGATGCCCCAAGGCCACTGCTGCCCGTTGACTATTCACCCAGGCAAGCAAGGGGAAGGACTTAGAAAATTTAGGCCTCCCGTGGAGTTGTTTAACGGGTGGATGGGAGTGAACCCTGGGCTGTGGCAAAGGTGCCTGCGGTAGCTGAGGGCGGGGAGGCCTGCCTGTGTTAGTCCTGGCCCAGGCCTTAAGGCCGGTGAGACCAACATTTCTCTAGTGTAGCCTGAAGGATGGTGCTGTTAAAGATGGGCGCCCTCTATGTCTTTATCTGGATCAACAAATGGCCCTTCCTTTATAGGAGAGGCCCTCTTGGACATAATCCAGGGCTATGGTCTTGAAAAAGCATGTGACCCAAAGAGGCATGTGTCAGAGGAAATTGTCTTTTGAGAAGAGACAAAAAAGGTGTTAGAAGATTTTAGCCCACCTAGGAAACTCCACAATCCGGGCTTGTCTACATATAATATTGTTAATACTGAGTGCTGTTTATTGCAGAGGGGAGGAGAGATGTGGCAGGGTTATCTACACTTTTGAGAAAAATTCCATTGGAAACTGGGGACAGTTCCCTAACACCACCAGGGGCCAATGCTTTGGAGAATTATTTTTGGGCCTTTTACTGAAACTTCAAAGGTCAAAATATTTGGCCGTCTTCTCTCAGCATAGCTTAGTGTGGCAGTGATGTCACAAGCTGCTAGTAGAAGGGAGGTGTCCGTGGCAGTGAGGATGAACCCAAACATGGCTCAAACTCCACGTGGAAGACACTGAGAACAGTGAGCAATGAGAATGTCGCTGGCCACCAGGAAGCCCACTGGCTGGCAGTGCTGTGTGCTGCAGAGATGACCTAAGGTGGCTCATCATGTGCTATGACCACATTTCTCCACGTAAAAACTTGAAAGTCTGAAGTCAAAAGAGAAAATACATGGTATTTTAAAATTGGATGAGATGGGCTGGGGAGTGGCTGGGATTGGTCTCACAGCCTGAGGCGTGGAGCAGAGGAAAAGAGAAGCTGCCCTTGGTGGTCTGAGGGATCACGACCTGTCATCAGCACGCCCCTTGCACCTGTCATTCTGTCCTGTGGCCTTCTCAGCTGCTCGCTGAGACGCTCATCAGGCAGTGACCTTGCAGGATGTTGTTGCACGTGAGGAATGAGCTCACTGGCACTGACCTGGGGACCTTGCAGGTAGAGATTGGGGTTTTAGGACATCGCCCCTCTTTTCCCTTCCAAAGCATGAACCAAAGCGAAGGTTAAGACAAAAGCAATAGAGATCTAGATGTAAATTTTATTACTAATAAAAGCTGGGTTGGAGGATGTGATGTCTGTGGACTCATACTTCAGCCCTAAATTAGATAGATGACTTACCCATCATTTCACAGCTCGACAATTAGAAGTCTCTTCAGGGAGGCTGGCTTCAAAAGAGAAAGGGCCCAAGAGGGCTGCGCTGAGGCGAGCCTGTTCAGTGTCTTCTCCTGGATTTGTCAGACTAGTTAGTCCCTCTGCCTCCCTGGGGAAGGAGTAAACTATGGGGAGAGAGCCCAAGGGTGTCACTGCAGTGAGGCCCCTACAGGAAATAAGAGGCCAAGGGAATGGAGGTTCCCCCCAGCAATGAGCAAGCAGCACAGGGATTTATATCTGCTTTCAGAGAAGCTACCAGTAGGTAGACAGATTCTGGAAAGAAAACAAACTCACATGAAAATCACTGAGCACAGCTGCCAAAAAAGGGTAGGTGCCTCCACCCCTCCGACCCCGACATGTGGGACTGAGACTAAGAGGCAGTTCGAGCAGAGAGAGGGTCATCAGGAAAGGACTTCTGCATGAGGCAAATCTCGACTCTCAGCTTTTGAAGAGAGATGACAGATGGATAGCGAGACCCAGAATCAGAGTTAAACGCGGGCACCAAGTGTAGGTCTCCTCAGCCTTCCGCTTATTCTCATTCGTGACCCACTAAAGATTCTCAAAGAATGACTTAAAAATCCTAACTGTTGTCATCTCCAGTGACACAATCTTTTTGGTTCTTTTGATTCACCCAGCAAGCAGAGGAGGAAAACGAGCTGAGGAAAAAGCAGGAACAAGCTCTCATGGAGAAGCTCCTGGAGCAAGAAGCTCTGATGGAGCAGCAGGACCCAAAGGTAGGAAGTGCCAGGCTCCTGGGATGGGCGTCCTGCGAGGAGAGGCCTTGATGTCACCTCTGAGCAAGCAGGGCAGCTGGCCAGATGTGCTCAGTCGGGATCCTTACCATGTCCTTCTCTGGCGTGGAAACATGGCAGATGGAAACTTGTGCATTCATTACTCTGTTCAGCACCTTCTGGAATGAAGCATGTGTAGCGTTTCTATGTTTATAGAGAACCAGAACTTAAATCTTAGTTGGATATACAGAGAGGCCACACCAGATGGCCTGATGACTGGAGGGCTTAGCACCCAGAGGTTTTGTGTGGATGCCCACTGGTGCTGGCCTTGATAGCTGTAGGGCAACATTGTAGATAAAGATCGTAAAAGGCTGACAAGCTAAACTTTTCTTCATCCCGATCCTTTGCACCAACGTTTAAGGAGCCTGTGGTTACTCCCAGCTGTCTCTTGCTGCCAGGTGGAGTTTTGTGTGTTCTTCAGAAGAAACCAGAAAGTTTCTGTTTTCTTCCCAAAAGCTTTCTGAGTTTTTCTGTGTTTGAGCAGAATGTTGGGATGGTGTCGTGTGTGTTTTTGGCTAAGGCTGCTTATTAGTAAGTAACATAATGCTCAGGCGCATTGTGAATTTCCACAAACTCCCCAGTGGGTGCTGGCCCCACTAACATCTACCCTTCTTTCTTTTCAGTCTCCTTCCCATAAATCAAAGAGACAGCAGCAAGAGTTAATTGCAGAATTAAGAAGGCGACAAGTTAAAGATAACAGACATGTATACGAGGGAAAAGATGGTGCCATTGAAGATATTATCACAGGTAAAGGATATTTCCTCACTGTGACCTGTGGAGATCCCACTGGCCTCACCTGGACTGGGCTGCATGCAGATTTGCAGCTGCTTTTGTCCAGGGTTGGCAAGTTGTGACTTTATTCAGATCCAGAATTATGCAGAGAGACTCCACGCTAGGGTTCGAAATATATTTACAGTAACATGTATACTGCCCCAACACTCTCTGAAAAATCTTTATTTCTCAATATCGTTAGAACCCTGTAGGCTTCAGCAGGGCTCCTTCTCCTAATGGTTTTTCATTGTTTTCAATTTGTCATCACGTTCTATTTTCCTCCTCACAGCCAGCCCTGCCCACCTGCCTGATTGATAAATGAGTACTGTGGATAAGACCCGTTCAGTTCCGTACTAACCACACAGTCCATACCTGCTCTTTAGAAGCCTCTTGACTCATTCACAGTAGCTAAAATCACTAGGTACTTGCACTGGGATGAGCCAACAGGCTTCTAGCCCAGGGCTGGAGACTGGTGGTTCTATTAGCGAAGAACTGTGCTTAACCCAGCTCGGTTCTTGTCTGATTAAATTCTAGCTTAATGCTTTCTCCTTGAACCCATTCTCCCAGGTTTCTGTATATCCTCTTACAGATCAGAACGATAACTTGAGCCACTGTCTTGTAACAGTGGCAGCAAGTGACCTTTCTTTCATGTCTGTTGCACATGAATGTTATCAGTTTCCAGATACTTAAAAGTTTTTTATTAGGGGATGGTCCAAAAATACGCAAAAGCATAGAGAACAGTATGAAGTCCCATGCACTCCTCATCTATTTCAACGATTATCAACTCATAACCAATCCTGTCCGTGTGTGCTCTACCCCGCCCCCCATGCCTAACCCATGGGGTTATTTTAAAGCACAGTCCAAGATACATAATTTCATTTGGAAATATTTCAGTATGTATCTTCAAAAGATAAGGGCTCTTATGAACAAAAACACATCCATAGTATTATCACAAGTCCTAAAATCTAACAGTTCCTCAGTATCAAATATCTAGTCATTATTCACATTTTCCCAAATCGTCCTCATATTTTAAAAATGTAATTTCTAGACTTTTGACTTCTCATTTCTTGTTATAGCTTAGTCAGCATTATAAATTGGGATTCCAAACTGTCAAAACCACAAATTTTTCTCAACAGCTCAGACCCAGGAAAATTAAATAGGCAATTAGATAGATCAGATACATTAAAAAGGAAGTCAATAAGAAAATCCCTTGCCAGATTAAAGCAGTGTAAGTCCTGAGTGAGGAGGACAGTGGCTGGTGAACATGCCATTTTCTACACACGGTGCACACACATTCTGCACACGTGTGCCGACTGGTATCTCAGTGTACACCCTGCAGTGGCTTGCAGGTAAAGCCCAGGTAAAGCCCCCATTGTTTAGCATCTCTCCTCGCCTCCGCCACACTGGAGGAGAAACTCTACTCTGAGCAAGACCAGGAAGAGATCTCCTTCCTAGGTAAGCACGTCTTGGTCTCAGTGCCACAGAATTAACTTGTAGGTAGGGAAGCATCCAGCCCTGCATATTAAGAACTTGGAGTTCCTTTTTCATTAATATGTTCTCCATCCCAATGACACCTGGCTTTATAAAATGAATGGAATGTACATTTTCTATTTGCCTGACCTAAACCGTTAATCTACCAGAGGAGGTGAATGAATATCTACTTATAAGGCAATTTTTATTTTCCTTGGAGTATTTTCCATTTCCTGCCCCCTCTCCCACCCCCATCCCTGGGAATGATTAATAAAGCACTAACCATGTACTAATGCAGTAGATTTTGGCTTTTTACTCTCTCTCTTCTGTTTGTGTTGTTTGGCTGTCGTTTTCAATGCAGTGCTGAAGACTGTGCCCTTTACTGCTCGCACCGCCAAGCGTGGCTCTCGGTTTTTCTGCGAACCTGTTCTCACTGAGGAATACCATTACTAAACTATTACTCTTTCTCACCTGATGATCTTAAAAGGTTGCTACAGGTTTTTTGACCTCTTACGTCCCTGTCTGTGTGTCTGTCAGGGCCAATCACTATGCTGGCATGGAATTGCCATCTCCATCATGTTATGTTTTGTGTTGTCCTTGTGCTGCATGGTTTTGCATTTCAGTCATTACTGCTCACTCACACTTTCAATACGTATGTGTATCCATATTACGGTGACGGGTCTGGGTGTATGTGACAATTGAATTAATGAATTGCTTGCTGAAATTTTCTGAAAAACAGTAAATAGAGTACTTCTTTGAGAATCAGGATTGGGACCAAGTAGATTGTAAGACACATCTTTGAACACAAAATGATAGTCTTTAATAACGATAACTACTGTACCTAACATTTATTGAGCACTTACTGTGTTCTAATAGGTTAACATATATTAGGTTATTATGTATGAAATGTCCAATTTCCTGAAGTACTAAGTTTGACAGTTGATATCTCTGACATTTCACTCTGGCACTTCTTGTTTTATTTTTATTGTGAAGGTACATCCTCATATTGTGACGGTACATCCTCAGTCTTTCAAACGCACATTTTGGCTTGTGATTATCTTGCAATTTTTTTTTTTTTTTTAGAGCAATTTTTGTGAAACCATGGGTAAGTCAAAAATTTGTGTTATTTTCGAATACGAGTTCCATTGCGAAACCAATGCAGTGCAGACAGCTCCAAGTATCAATGAAGTGTTTGGGAAGGATGTGGTTAATGAATGCATAGTATGTCAATGGTTTGAGAAGTTCTGTTCTGGGGTGATCTTGATCTTGAAAATGAGCCACGTGGGTGACCTGAGGCCAGGGTGAATAATGATGAGCTAAAAGCTGTAGTGGAAGCGAATCCATCTCAACCTATGTGTGATTCAGGAGCAAGGTCTGATGTTACTATTCCAACAATCTTGGACCATTTGAAACAAATCGGGAAGGTAAAGAAGCTGGATAGATGGGTTCCGCATGAATTAAACGAGCATCAGAAAAGAAATTGTCTGGAAGCTTGCCTTTCTTTGCTGTCACAACATAAAGGCGAACCATTTCTACACTGTATTTTTTTTTTTTTTTATTTTTTGAGACAGGATCTTACTCTGTTGCTCCAGCTAGAGTCCAGTGGTGGCGTCATAGCTCACTGAAACCTCAAAATCCTGGGCTCAAGTGATCTTCCTGCCTCAGCCTCCCAAGTAGCCGATACTACAGGCATGTGCCACCACACCCGGCTAATTTTTTCCATCTTTAGTAGAGATGGGGTCTCACTCTTACTCAAGCTAGTGTCGAACTCCTGAGCTTAAGCATTCCTCCCACCTTGGCCTCCCCTCTACACTGTATTGTTACATGTGATGAAAAATGGATTCTTTTTGACAGTCACAGCATTTGGCACAAGGGTTGGATAAAGATGAAGTGCTGAAACACAGTCCAAAACCACATATTCATCAAAAAAAGCTAATGGTGTCTCTGGTGATCCAGTGCTGGTATTATCCACTACAGCTTCATGGAAACGTGGTCAATCGATTACAGCGGATGTCTACCACAACCAGTTGGATCAAGCATCTTGAGGATGCTTGCAGTTAAGCACTCAAGATTGGTCAATAAAGCCAGGCCAGTCCTCTTGAAAGACAACACTCAACCACATGTTGCACAAACAACGCTGCTCAAACTGTAGAAGCTGGACTTGGAGACTCTCTATAATCCACTGTATTCACCATACCTTGACACCAACTAACTACCACTTTTTCTAGGCTTTGGACCACTTCTTGCAAGGAAAAATATTCAATTCTCAATAAGCTGTGGAAAACGCTTTCACGATTTCATCACCACTTGCTCTCCAGGCTTCTTTGCTGCTGGCATAAGCAAGCTACGTTAAGATGACAAAACTGTGTTGACAGTTTAGGTGCATACTTTGATTAATTGTACTGCTTCTTGTTTGAGATACAATAAACTAGACTTTTGATTAGAAATCGGACATTTCATATTTAATGACCTAATACTAACCCCTTTCTTTTGTACCCAGTTAACATGCTTTCATAGTAAAATGACCTGCTGTACAAAAGTGCTCAGGAACGCAAAGTTCTCTAAAGTTGCAAGATGATTTTGTAGAAGATGAAACTCTACACACAGCTGTAAACTGGTCCTTTCTTTAAGTGTCTCTTATAGTCCATAGTGTGATGGAATTCATAATATGAGCTTAACACAGGGAGCTCTTTTGACCTAGAAAACCTGAATATGTTGATTTAGGCAAGCCGTACACTCTACCCTGGTCAGGTCACCTCTGTTCCCTCTGAGTGTCATGCCCAAGTTGAACTACCAGCAATTCCTTGTTGGAGCCAAGCTGTGAGGCAGGAAATGAAAACAAAGGCCTAGGTGCTCCCCACCTTCTTATTCATGCCTCTTCATTGGTGGCTCTGTTCCATGTCAAACCCAGGGTATTTCCTCTGTGATGACATCATATTTGGACCTGATTCTTTGGTCAGGATGGTGGCACCAGAAATACTGATAACAGATACCTATCATCAGAAAAGGCCACTGTCCTTAGAATTCAAAAAAAAAAAAAAAAATCAAATTTTCCCAAAAAGTAACTTCCTGGGCTTAGTTAGTTCTCGATGCCTAATAAGGAAAAAACTTCTCTCTAGTGCCTAGTTGATTAGAAAAGAGACAAGGGAAGTACATACTCTAATTGGAAACAAGCCATTGATTGACTCTCATGCTGAGACTGACATGGAACTGGGTATGTGTTTATTTCATGGCATAACTATTCTATGAATTGCACTTGTTATGTATGTCGTTCCTCTGAATATCTCAAAGGACACAGTGTGTCATTGCCTGCTCTGCAGTGTACTTACCCACCAGTGCTTATTAACAGGCTAGAAACTGTCATCTGCTTGGCTGATGTTTGCTATCAGTTTTGCTGCTGGATTATCTGTCTTTCTGGAGCCAATCTTCAAAGCAGCTTGAAACTGGGTAGTCGGAAAGCTGGAAAGCTGGGTGGGAAGACGCACTTATCCTTCCCTTGTTTTATCTAACACTTCTTATAGTAATGGCCTCCCACTCTCTTCCTTTGTTGGCTAACGTGCCCAGGAATGTTAAGCACTAAGTTGAGTTGCTTTCCATTTTCATCCCATTTTTACTTAACCATCATTTTGTGTTTTTGTTTTTTTTCTGTTTAGCCTTAAAGAAGAATAATATCACTAAATTTCCAAATGTTCACTCGAGGGTAAGGATTTCTTCTAGCACACCGGTGGTGGAGGATACACAGAGCTGGCAAGCATCACTTTTTACTTAGCTTCCTCCTCTCTCTGTATCAGATCAATGGTTTCAATCTATGGCTGAGGTTAATACTGGTGAGAATCTGACCAGGGAGAAGTCTTTGTACCTCACATTCCAGTGATGTGAGGCATGAGCCTCTCTGTTCGACTCTTTCTCAGCCTGCTTCTGTGTTCTCAAGTGTGATGGCTTGAGCAAGGGTATTTGCTGATTATACTTGCTTTGAGTGCTAGGCTGTCTTTCCTTTACCCCCTTCTTGGCTTTCAAGTTATTCAGTTAACACCATTTTGATCTGAAGAGATTGAAAGCAGGTCCTGGCCAGGGAACATGAACTACAGCCTTTGAAGTATTAGGATCTTTAGAACTAATTGCTCTGAGAACTGAAGAACCACAGAACTGCATATCCTTAGCCAAAAGTGGAATTTTGACCTTGTATGACCAGTCTGGGTAGGAAAAAGGAGCTCAAGAAGATTAGGGCTTACAAAGCTATTGTTTCCTTGAATTTAGGAGTAGGGCAGGGTCACAAATTCCAGTACGTCAAGAGCCAGGAAGGTAACAGGCCTGGGCGGGACTGTGCTGAACCTGAGAACATAGGTCTCAGTTCCAGTTTATTTGTGCCATTTGGGTCTATTATTGCTGGAGCTTCCAATTTTTCAAAAGAAGCCAGAAACCCTAGTTTTCATGTTAATTACCAAATTTAAATATCAGGAAACTGTATTTTAAAATATGGGGGTATGGTGGAGCAAACATTCTATCAGCTCCGTTTTCAATTTACTGAATAGATAAAGGGATAAAAAAGATTCAGTCTGGTTTAATTCTGTTATTTATAAAAGTAGAATGTTTCCTAGCAGAAGTTAACAACAGTCCATTAATGAAAGGGAAATAAATAGTAATCAAACAAAACAAGGGGAAAAAGTACAAAGCTTGTTTAATTTTTTTCCCCACAATACCGATTCCATCAAAAGGAGGCTACCTGCTGGATGGGCTACCTGCCCTATGCCTTCATATTTAGAATGCTTGCATAAAGTTCCTCTGATCATTCCACTTCATCCCATCAGAGCAGTGCCTACTTGAACCAGTGTACAGTGATTGATTGATTCATTCAACAAGACTTTCCCCCCTGTGCCCCCCGCCCCCCGCCCAATGTCAGGCATTCTGCTTTGCACTAGCAATACAAACTGGAACATGGTAGGAGGGCCATACCTCTCCCTGTTGATGAAAAAAAATATTGGGTGGTACAGCTGGGTACAGTGGTACATGCCTATAGTCCCAGCTACTTGGGAGGCTTGAGGTGGGAGGATCACTTGAGCCCAGAAGTTCACGTTCAGCCTGGGCAATGTGGCAGAAAAGAATGCTCAGGAAATAGAGTATTATTTTGCTTTAGATTTAATGGTTAGTTGAGCATTATGTTTCTATTTAATAGAATAAAAGAACGTCAGCTAGCAAAGTGGAATGAAAATAACCTGTATCTGCAAACTAAGGCCTTGAGGTTCCTTCCTTGTTAAAACTTCAAGGATAAGACAGGACAGGGCAGTCTGTTTTATTAGTTTTGTAGTTTAAAACTTATTGTAATTATTGCTGATATTCGGGCTTCCAGAAAAAAGACAATAAACAAGCCACAGCTGCTTCCAATTGAAAAAAAATTTCAGAATAAGACATCAGCTAGACTCTCTGGCCAGTGACAAAAATAATCTCCTATGTATTTTTCTCTCTTGAAGTCCCAGAATTCTAGCAGTACTATATCACATTTTGTTTGACTATAAATATGGAAGGCAAATGTACATGTCTTTGATTCAATGCTTGATGAGTTTGAAGGGCCCATTAGCTGACTCTTCTACACAAGCTGCTTTGATTGGCTGCCAGCTGGCCTTTGTCTTGCTTGGACACATGATATTAAAGGTTGCTATTCTCTCATTGGCACTCTCCTCTTTACAGATCTTAGAAACCAACCATACCGACGAGCCGATGCGGTGAGGAGAAGTGTCAGGCGGCGCTTTGATGATCAGAACTTGCGTTCTGTTAATGGTGCAGAAATAACGATGTGAACCCAAGACCTGCCTGCATGAGTAGAGGGTGTGCGTGAACAAAACTGCCCACGTGAACTTTATGTGCTACCATTTAACTGCAACCTTGAACACATAAAATATTCTTAAGGGCCCAGAATTAGCAAACACATAGGAATTTAAAAATAATGGGCTCTCCTTTCAACCCTTGTTAACAAGTGCCTAAAAATGGAAGTACCTGCTCAGATTAATCAAAGCAATAGGATTTGATTTGATTAGGTATCTTTTTACACACCAGTATGTTATTTTTTCTTAACCAAAATGTAAATTTCACATTAAATCCATTACCTGCCATTGTGATTGTCCCATGATGGTCCACCCTGGTTTCCTGATAAGTTGTAAATAACATGGATGCATCAGAATTAATTTTGTGTTTCAGCCATATCCATCACCTTTGTGTTTCTAAAGACTTGCAACATGGAAGAAGGGAAAAGTCACATGATAAACTCCTTTGGTCTATAACCAAGCTCTAGCAAAGTGCGAATAGGATGCAACTACAGTGGTACAAGTTACTCGAACTCTTTGTTTCTAGTTTCACATTCTACTACTTCTGTGCTAGGGAAGGATGCTCTGTGAGAGATGTTCACCAGTATGAATGCAAGGATATGATGGCATAAAGTGTTGTATAAGACTTATTTGCAGTACTATGTTCTTCAGCTTAAGGCAGCTTTTTAATGCATATATATTTATTAATTAGCACTAAATTTAACATCTCAGTGATCAGTATTAGGATTTCTGAGGACCATTATGGGTTAATCCTGATAATAGAAATTGGTGCCTTGCTAGCCAGGGAGAAGTTTTAAGTATTCGAGGTTACATCTGCTAACAGAGTAGCATTAGGAACCTGACCTTACGGAGGAACCAGACCTTACTCTCCTCTGACAATCGCAGAGTTTTTCATTTCTTTTTCCCTTTTGTAAATTGGAGAAGATACATTTGGCATCATGTATCAAAGCTAAATTATTCCTGCACTTCCCTGATTACTTATAGGGAATTGCAATAAAGTCATTGAAAAATGTTAACATCGATATTATACACTTAAATAATATGCAATGGGACTAAATGGCCAATTAAGCCACTGTTTTTCCTTCCTCTCTGGCAGGGCACTTGATCCATTCCAAAGTCAAAAACTGGACTGAAGCTAAATTTGTACTTTTCATAATATACATTCTGCTTTTGGCTTACCTTCTTGGTACCTTACATCAGTATATTAATTGTAAAGTTTATTGTATAGTATTTAACCACTGAATTTCTTATTTTATGTTGTGCTTATGTGAACCCCTTGGTGAAGGTCCCTTTTCCTTGGATAATGTGTAGTTATATGATCTTTTTAAATGTACAGATATTTTGCTATGAAATTGGTGTTTTTTATGGTTTTTACACTTCTCTTTAATTCTCACCTAAGCCTCTAGGTAATATTGTAAATATTGTTTAAAAATGCATCAGCCTATGCTATACAATCTGAATGTTATTTTAACTTATAGGTTTTTTTTTTTTTAAATATATATTTAACTACAAGGACAGCTTAGGGATCAGTTACCACACTTCACTTTAGCATACCTATTTACAGAAAGATTACTTTAAAACTGCCACCTGGGGGCACACTTCCATAAATGTGTACTTTAAAAAGAACGTGCCAAGATTCTGTCTTTCTGTTGACTTAACGTTCATTTTGATGAAAATACCAATTTGGCCATAACGTGTAACACAAATAGTTGGACCTTTACCATAAAGCAGCTGTTTTCCAAAACTCAGTGCTGACATGCATATTTTAAAATAATTGCCTATTTATTATTTTATAAAGAGACAATAATGTTGGCATGTTCTTTTCTGTTTGTCTATTAATGGGCCTGCTTCTTAGCAATATTAGAAATGTTTTATAAAAGCAATTCATGTTACTTTTCTGGTCTTTTCATGGCATATGAGCAAATAAAAACTATTTACACTACTATTCTATAATATGTTGTATTTTTCAATGATATAGTTTAGGGGGGTTTAGCAGTTTTATATAGACTTTTATCTAGTAGAAACAAGTATGTTGTGCTGTTCGATCTCAGAATCCAAATATATTTGGTAAAATTGAGCAAGAATCTCTCCCTATATAAACTTTTGACTGCTTGCTGTATGGAACATAGGAACAACATAGATTTTGGTAGTGAGGGATACATCTCCAAAATTGTATTTGTAAATTTATTACTTCCAGAGAAATAACACTCACTTGGCAAGATGCCAGCCCTCAAACGTGTTTTAATTAGGATGTACAAATATAAATAGGTTATGTGTGAACTACACAGAGGTGACCCTGTACCTAACAATCATACAGGTTGGCAAGGTACACACAAGCAGCTTGGCCCTCACTGCAAACACACAGTGATATTTTTAACGATAACACCAAGTCATCTGAAAAGTTTAACATTTAGTATATTCTCATGGAAATGAGAAATTATAATTTTAGAAAACCCTTCAATTATCTTTAAAAAACTTAATTGTCACAACTACCATGGCATACTTTGCATTTCTCACAGTTGGCTGTTTACAGATTATATGCAATCATCTGCATGTCACTTCTCACAACAAGCCTGTGAGGTAGTCATTGTTAACACTATTGTGCACTCTAGGAAAATGACTTTGCAAAATTAAGTGACTTGCCCAGGGTCATCAATCTAGTAGGTCAAAGAGCATGTATAAGCCTTAGGTCTTTGTTCCCAATTTAGTGCACTTTCCACTACACCAGTTATACGATATATTTGAAGCTTTATTTTATAAAAGTGAGGAAAAGTTTAATTCTGGCACTTAGAATCTCTAGTTTTAGACCAAGACAAGTGCCTACTGGTAAGGCTGATAGTTGGGCTTAGGGCATTATATACCAGTAGGTCATTTGGGTTTTTCTGTTTTGAGACAGGGCCTCACTCTATAGCCCAAGCTAGAGTGGAGTGGTGCCATCAATCATAGCTCATTGTAACCTTGAACTCTTAATCCTCCCATCTCAGCTTTCTGAGTAGCTGGGACTACAGGCGTGCACCACTACACCAGGCTAATTTTTAAAATTTTTTGCAGAGACAGGGTCTCACTATGTTGCCCTAGCTGGTCTCAAACTCCTGGCCTAAAGCAATACCCATGCCTCAGCCTCCCAAGGTGCTGGGATTACAGGTGTAAGCCTCCATGCCAGGCCACATTTGTTTTTTAAAAGATGTTTACCAATGACTCTGAATTGGAATTAAGTACCCTTGTTCCCCACTTCCCATCCTCTTACCCTAACAGTCACTGCAAAGTCCAGTAACGCTCCTGACTTGAGTCTGCTTTGGCACAGAATGGGATACGATACCCACCAGACTCTGCTTTGGCTCAAAATACTGGAATTTTCTCTGTAGAATTATCTAAGTTTACACTGGGAGATATGATACTTTTATAGTACTAGCTTTATAACTGTCTTAACTATTAATTTTAATACTTGAATACAACAAAATTCTTTGCCCTAATATACTTTTTATTATCAGAAATGTCTGCAAAGATGAGTTTGTCAGCACAGTTCATACAAAAGAATGTTTTCCATTTCTTTTTAAAGATCCCATCTCTTCCCATGAAAAAATTTGAAGCAAGAAACAAATGCACGAATAAAGTGTTAATAGACATTTTTGCTCTCTAACATTTTATCAAGAAAAGCAAAAATTACACTTAGAAAATAGAATGTGGGCATCTAGCAACTCAGCACAGAACTTATTGCCTATGAGGAGTGCTTACAGGAAAAAGTTGACACAAACCCAACTTATTCAGTAAAAGATGCCTTTTTTCTAATAAATTATATTTATTTACAAAAGGTCTAATTTTATGTAACTATCAGGTTCTTTACATCAGAACAACATATTAACAGGTGAAAATCTGGTAATTACAAAACACAGAAAATAGAAACCTTGTTCCCTCTATTACTCACCTTTCAGAACAAGTCCTCGGTTCAGTTGTGTAGAGGTAGGCAAGAAGACCAACACCTACCAAAAAGTTTGCAGGCAGGACCAAAAAAATGTTTATAAATAACACATTTAGATACCCTAAGGAATAGTATAGAACAGCATCAGGAAATGGCTTAGTTTGAATCTGATCTGATTTGCCAGCCACTCATTGTTTCATAGTCTATGACTGGAGTCGGGATGATTAGCCAGTTGACATTGACTTCACACCCAGGGTGATTAAAATTCATTTACCAATCACTAACAGTGAGATGGCCTTGAACTACTAGATCCTACTGAGAATCACTAAAGCAGTTTTGACCATCTTTATATATAGCAAGTTTAAAAAGTAGAGCCTCTACTATAGTTAAGGAACTTAAGCCAGGTAGGCAAACTAAAATGGAGGGCTAGGAAGAATATGTGGCTAACTGGGGCAAAATCATTTCTCTCACTTCCCACCTCATCTTTAAGTCAGTGCCAATAAACTGAGTGACTGCCATGTCACTATGATTCAACCTCTATTCACAATAGCCCAAAATGATTATTTTTCAACTTAGAATTTAAATTGTATGTTTTCACTAAGAAGCTCTTGGACATTCATTCCTAAAATAACAGTTAAGGTCACTAGACCTTATTTTAGGTGCACTTCAATTATGACTGTGGGTGGCCTTAGTGGTGTGTTAATATGGTTTATTGCAATGCCTTTTCAAGCCCTTTAATACAGATGATGGTACCCTGAATGCTGGATGAGCACATGTACCAACTGATATTTTACATTTATTCATTAAGTGCCTACTATGTGTTGGGCACTCTCTGAATTCACAGGGATATATTTACAACAGTGAATGCAACAAATCCCTGCCACCAAGGAACTTACATGGCCACCATTTAAGACAAAAGAACTGGAAAACTTGAGAGCAAGGTAAGAATAAAGAGGTAAGAATTATTAGGTTGGTATATGCTATCAGAAGCACAGAATATGATAAGCCTATTACTATAAGCCTAATAGAATACAGTTCCAGGAAAATAACTCATGACATTATTTTGCTTTTCTTTTATGTAAAATGAGTGGTTTTACCTAGAGAATGTAGGATAGTTGAATCAAATCTACCTAGTACTGACAGATACATCTCCAAGGGAAAAAGTCCCAGATTTGAGATAAAAGGAATTAATATACTTTGCTTCAATTTAGAAATATTTAGTTTTAAAAGCTGAAGTTCTTTAGTTTTATATTTAAATTATGTAATATACTTAAAATCCTATTAAAAAAAGATATTCATTATCACTCTTCCCTGGGTACCATTCGGTTAGAAACAGTTCTCTATTACATAGCATCTAAGCTTTAAAAAA